ATGGGATATTCCTGTCCCATATTTTGGTGCAATAAAATCCACCGCTAATGACGAGAAGCGATGACGCTGCACAATGGGCCCGAAGCGTCGTAACTGCAGTCGAGTAGGAGGGAAACAGAATCAAGCAAATGAAGGAGAATTCATCATGCCGAAAAGGCATGACAATGTGATCCATCCTTCTTCAATAATTTATGTTCGTGACTTCCTTCGCAGTTTGTTTGTTTTTTTTTTCATTTAACTTGTTAAACTAGTTGTTTTAATTTGCTGCAGCAATTGTTGAGAGTTGTTTTATTCACTGTTTCAGTTCAGCATCACTTCCCACGGCTAGGGGAATTTTACAGCACTCACTGATACCACGAGTTCACGTAAGGCTAGTGACTCCATGATTTGGTCGAATTTTTTCTCACAAGATTGTCATACACAATAGGAATTTAAGTTCTAGTTAAGGTGAGTTTATTAGGTGAAAAGGTAGTCTCAAAGTAAATTCTGTTGTTCGGACAAAACTAATATTTGCCTATTTGTTGCCGAAGAAATAAGTTGGTCGAAGCGAATAGCTTATAATAATCCTATCCTATTTGTTGCTTGAATACGTTTTAGTGCAAAGGTTTTAAAAATGAGCACAGACAAACTCATTCGGGCTTTATTGCCTCCTCAAATACCAATTTCTGCCAGGATTTGGGGGCTTAGGCTGTTCTATTGGAACGATTATACCTTCCACTTAGGATCCATTCTCCTAGCCAGATTTGGCTTTCTAAAACTAATAAAATGCTTCTTATGGACATGAACTCATGCAAAATCCTGTCATGTGTGGAAGAATGAGAAATTAAGCCTGATTCCCACATAATGAACTCTTAAAAGGTGAGTAAACTGGTCGTCCAAAGTGTGGTAAACCCTCAATGGTTTTCCACAGTTATGATGTGCCAGTGCTGTTGTGCTCTAAGTTAGATAACGCCGGCAGTGACAAATTTGAATATTTAAAGGGCAAAGGCTGTTACTTCTAAAGGTCGTAACTAGTCACAGCGCTATCGTCCACCGTAGTCTTAAAATTAACCGGATTTTGCCTGGATGGCTCAACAAGTAAATGCTAGCCCAAAATTAACTCATGACTGATGGCAAAACTAAATGAATGTAAAATGAACAAAATAACTGACATAATCTCAAAATAAAATATAGTTTACTCAAAATCGGTGTGCATGTAATCCACTGCTTTAATGCTGTATGATGAAACCGCATTTGGCTTACAGGTTTTTCATCAGCTATAGGTTTATAGCTATGCTTGAACTTTGCTATCGAAGTACAGAGTAATGCATCCCTCTACATCTAAAATGATAACGATGATTCGACTGACGTAGCTTGATATGGCCGAGTGATTGAATTTGATTTGCGAAAAATTCACATCAACGTGAGGGCAAACAAAGTAGCTTAACCCAAACAGAGGAGGAGGTAAAGGCGAGCATCCCCAAACACTGCCTTCATCCCATAGGCATTTGAAGTTTATCTGAGTTAATAATTTGCAATTTTAAGAAGTGTAAATTACAGTCAGTGGTAAAAAATGGCGTCACGGAGCTGTTAATGTAGCAGAGTATATCGTAGTAGGGTTTTTTTCTGTAAAGCTTTGCATCAAAGATTGCCATCTCGCTCTCCGCCTTTTTCAGCTACAAATTGCTGTCAGATGGGGGCTCGTTTACGGGATGAGCACTGATTTATGTTCTCCTGGACTCTAAAAGATGCATGAAATTACTCCGTCCTTGCAGCAATATGTAGAGCATTCTTCTTCCCTCATTTTGCATCAAGATGCTTATTCAGTATACCTGGTCATGCTGAACATTAACACTATAATTGGCAAACACTGTTATAAAACCACGGTGTTTATTTTGCCAAAATCGCGAACCTCTAAAGTAGCTTATACGAAAGCAGCGGAGGGTGAACCTTTCGTAAATCGCCTTATCAAGAAGCGCATTTTTGCCCACTAATATGGGTAATGAAATTTGTGACTTTAAAAGAGTAGGGATTCTAATCTGTCCAAGCTCCATGATCATCCAGTGAAAATAGCACTGCAACAGAATATAAGTGGGGAAATCTGCACGACATTTCCCCACTCCACCTACTACTAATAATAGTAGTACTCCAGGTGACATATGAATGCTTGATGTTTTACGATCAAAATATTCGTTCTGCGCCATCATTGTGTCCATTATCTTAGTAGCAATAGTGACCTTCTTTGTTGAGGATGTGATTTAAATTGAAATAATGAAGAAGTCTTGTTGCATTTTTTGATGCATTTAATTTCTTTACTGCTCAATCTCAGTCATCCGCATAACTTAGCAACCTTTTTAATGTTCCAGAAAATATTTTTTCTCTATTTTAACAGCATCGCATTTACTAAAATGCTGGATAAGATAGTAATTACTGGAAATGTTTTTGATAAAATACCCAAACCGGGCATACTACAAGAAAAAGATAAGGAATTACCAACGGTCGTTATATTGTACTTTTGGAGGTTTTCATTATTCAATTAATTTTACCTTCCTAATATATGAGAGGTCTTTTGTGTTTTACCCCTTCAGCATTCCTGACAATCCAACAAATCCGACTGCTAAGACTGAATGCAAGACGCTATTGTAAAGCACGAGAAGTAAATTAGGTACTAACAAGTCTCGGTCGGAATTGGTAATGCAGGTCTACGCTTGTGCAGAGTTCATGCTGAGATTGTGAGGTACCTTGGCAGATTTTTTTAACAGAAGGGCCACACACCATCGTGCTTCGGCCCACGGTGGCAGCACAAGAGACACGAACATTCGTTAGCGTGGCTTGATTTGGCAGCGAAAGTATTTAAAGGTAACTAATGCTTCACCACAATACGCTTTTGGCCAAAGTACTGTAATTTCGAGTCAGAAATAGAAAAGCATACTTTATGCTCACTTCTTTCAGATCAACCTACATCCCAGTGTCATTTTCCAGCGCTTAGTAAACTAACTTTTCCCCTCTTATTCGAGTGAGTGACTATACAAGAAGGGTGTAATCTCTCGTCTTCAAAGGATATCGTGCCTTTTGTGCTTCACTCTTTCATCCTTTTCACGGTAAATGTACTTAGGATGTTGCATCACCTTTCGTGTGATCGTAACTACAGGCCACATGGAAGATTAGAGGGGCAGTATATGGAAAGATTTGTTAATACAAATACGTCCCAGATATTATTCAGTACATGGAAGATTCTACCAACTCGTACACCTAACTCTCTGCTTTATCTATTTAGAAATTGACAACCAAATTTCAGGGCAATATTTTGGCCACATAATGAATCTTTGCGACTCAGTCCGTTGAATTCGGAAAATCTTTGACTTAACCGTCATATCCACTGTGAAATAAATCTCTTTTGCTGGCTTTTACACGGACTTATTTGAAAAAAAGAAAAAAGACCACATAAAGCCAGACAATATCTGTAGTTGTTTCAATACTAAAGTGCTCTCTCAAATTGGCTGCTAAAGCCGGGGATGACAAACACGTAGAGCGGAGCTAGTCGTGGCAAACATAATTCCTCTGATGCGGGAGCTCACTGGTTATTCTACGACTGTCCCGGTTTGTTCTGTAAAATTTGTATTCCTGCAAGAATAATAAGTGACAACCTACTTAGCCCAATTCCACACTGAGTTCCAATGTTTTAATTCGATAAAGCCAATGACAAAAATGTTAAAGTAGTATAAAATCATTAGTACCAGGAGACTGTGGTCTAGAAAAACAGTCTTCAGTTTCACTAGACCAGTGTAGATTGTTAGTATCGGAATACAGAGAGAAAGCTATGAATCGTATGGATGATACAGTCGCCTAAATAACATTAAAGAGCGCACTGGATGTAATCCATACTCATACCACTAACACTTCACCTTTGCACTATTTTCAGAAATTAACTTCAAGTTTCGCTGAGGACCAAGTTTTACTGAGCGGGTGAAAATAGTAGAATAGAGACCCCAAAAGTAATCGCTTAGTAAAATAGAAATACCCGCATAGGCATTAAATTTAATGCAATTATTCCCATATCCACCAGCCCAAAAGCACAGATATCGTAATAGTGTAATAGCATTTAGCATCTTTTTATCGCAAAAATGGCATTCCATTATAAACAATAGACGACTTCTCACAATTAGAAAGAGCATCTCCTGTGAGTCCTCAAACGTTGCTATGGCTTAAAGGAAGAAATGCCTTTTTCGTTCGTGCAAGATTTTTCTGCCTCTGATTCCACTTCAAAAATATTTAATAAATAACCGTTTATTACATTCTCAGTGGAACATTAGTAGATCCCATTTGTGGTTGCCATACTGTTCAGTCTTCCTGTTTAAAAGTTAGCTATACGGAATCGGTGCCATTGAAAACAACCAAATTGTGCTAACGCCTAAACTTATACAGACAATGATCTCGATCAAAATCTAGCATCATAGTCAGAGCTTTATAGTTCCAACCTGAGACATATCTAAAAGCATATTCATTGGTACTTAATGTTCAAAGTCGGTGGAAGTCTAGATGAAGTGGAGCAATATTTCCCGAACACGAGGGTGTCATAATGCAAAATACCATAAATGCAATGTTCAGAGTAGTTATATGCGAACCTGGTGATTCATTCGGCTAGCAAAATGCCCTGATCGTGTGTGCGCAGCGTATCCACTCACCTGCTACAAAAAGGACATTGCTCCGTACACTGAACATTGCCCCTGTTTTCCCTTTATTTTAAAATCATCGATGCTTTTATCCCCATCCTGTATGCGAAGACACCCGCCGGCATCGCTAAAACCTTTAGCTCAACATTTACTGGAAGGACATCTCAGCAGCTGCATAATTACATTTTGCTACTTTGTAAACGAAAAGGGTCACCAAGTATATAGTTGAAGGCATCTATGTAAGGCAGAGTAATAAGGTCTTCTTCTGGACTTAATTACAAAGTGAAATGAACCTGTAAAAAGTACAATGATAACCACAAGTAGAAGGAAGAAAAGAATTTAAAAAAAACCCAAGAACAATCCTGGAGTTTATTTCATCACAATGGTTGTCAAATCTGCCCACAATTGTTTTTGAAATTATCCTCAAATTGCTACAAATTGGTCAACTAATCATCACCTGCTACTAGTGTAAGCTTTTGTCTAACAACACAGCTTTGCTTAAGCACTGAAGTTTTGGTTGTTTTGTCCCCTTAGATAACAAATGGATAGATTCTAGGGTATCCTTTCGTTTCGTAAAAGGACCACCCAGCATGATAACAACCACCAGAAGGGAGAGCGGAAAGGTGTGTGCCTTGAAATTACCTCCCGGTAAAGAGCTCTACCGTTTTATAAAATCTGTTTTTGACTTTTTTTTATTATTAGAACAGCGCACTCCTGTTAAATAAGCAGCTCGAATAGCTTCAAAACCGTCACATTCTATAAGTAAATTACTTACGCAAGCCCTTGAATATCGTGACTGGACAGTTTGCGATCACCAAGGTTAGAATAGAGGAGAATTTCAGCAGCATTGCTCCTAGCCTTTAGGCGCGAAACCTGCATAACATTGTAGCAGCAAGAAGTAATTACCAGTCAAACTGCAGCGTGTGACGCGGAACAGAGGCATGAATCCGTGATGCGAACCAACTTTGGGGTAAACCGCGTATTTAACCTCAGCCATTGTTGACCAAATGGCCCAAGGAAATGAGAACTTAGATGTGTACGCATTCAAGCAACACGTAACGCACCTCTCAGGCAAAAGGCATTCTTCACGGCTTCATGACAGCTGCCGACCTAAGAAGGCAACTCAGTGAATCCTGCTCCACTCGAATTTACCTTGGTACCAAGAAGAGCTACGCTGATGATACCGCAAACAAAGCACCGAGAAGAGCAAACGTGTCGCGTACCCAGAAGAGCCCCAAGTGATATCACACAGGAACATGGGTCGTGAACTCAGACTATGGAGACCTCGTGACACCATAACAGGGCTGTAAATTTGCTTTCGACAGCTTTTAGCTCCAATGTTTTGATCGTTAGGAAGATTAGCAATTTGATAATCCTTAAGCTCTCACCATTGTGTAGCGCTTAAAACGATTCAGCTGTCACGTATCACAAGTCATAACCAAAGGATCGTAAAAAATTCAGATGAGATCCAAACCGGATATGCATTTGTATCAATGAGCTGTGATGGTGACTTGCAAAGCCGATATTAAGGTATAATATATCCAAATCACAACCTAATCGAGAAAGTAACAGTGGGTGAACTTAGAATGGCAACTTGAGGACAGTGATCCAAGGCAGGTGGACTTGCAATATTTTCAATTAACTGCCCAGTGGATGAATAGCCATCATATGCTCCTCTGCCATAACCAAAAGTCAACAGGAGCAATAAAACTACACCTAACTTTAGGAAGTGCACTGCTGAAGTACAAACCACTCCATATAAAACAAAAAACAAGCAGTTATATGACTGTTTAGTAAAATGGTACAGAAAACGAAATTATTTTAGCTTTGCTGACGACGTTATTCCAACTAGTTAGCAAATTTATTCGATTGCGTGACGGCTAGCCGAGTGCCGAAAAAAGCAAGGCTCCTCCAATCCATTTTATTTAGGATACACAGCGTATAAAAATACAACATATGAAACCTAGAACCGAAATGCTGAGTCCAGCTGTTGGAAGAGTAGGTCTTGTGAGTCCCCTCAGGCGCTCAAAAGAGAAGCAAGGGCTTCAAAGAACATGAGCATATCTTCCCGATGAAGTTCAACACCTGCGCGTAAAAAGCTTGTGTTATGCATTTACAAAATAATGGCCTTCACAGAAAGAATCTGAGCAAAGAAGATTCGCAAACATGACCCGTAACGTAAGGAATTTATGACTTCAACATCTATGGGTGGCAAAAAATTCAAGCATCGAGTCAGAGGCTTACCTAGTAAGACTTCTATCATTCCTTTATAAATATTTATGATAGCTTTTATGATGTCACAAGAGAACGAATGCTAAGCACCAAAGACCACCAACAGTTTTGTTAGGCCCACCAGCCTATGAATAGAAGATGAGCTATGAAAATAGCATTTCGTAGCAGGAAATAATAAATGTATGTTCTGCACAGTGGACGAAATACCGCCTAAGTGGAATGTGTTTATAAAGAAGTTGCGAACAGACTGTTAAGACATCTGAGAAGCAAACTGCACCAACGGAATCGATCCAACTGTTAAATAATGTCATACTTCGGCTTTTAAAATATGAATGAATGATTATAAGGCTGTCATTAGCTAAGTGCATTACCGGGAAATCCACAATCGAATCACAAAGTATTTCGTAATGTTCACCTACCTTTGCTTAGAGTTTTTTAAGGTCCAAATGGGAATGCAGTCCCTAATTGAGAGTAACTCCCTTTTCCTCTTTCTCTCTCCTCCTCCAAATTCCAGCGTCAAAGCGAGTTGGTGGAAGATTGTCATTTAATGTGCATGATTTGATTAGCCTGGCCTAGCGAAGCAACTCGATTACCAGTGGGTTCAGAGAGACCTCACTCTACGCACTATTCACGCCCTTTTCCAGAAGCCGAATAGGTGTATACTAAATTTCCACGAAAATACTGGTATAGCCCACTTTTCCGTTAACGATAATAGGTCAGGCACATTCTAATTAAACTGGGAATTCAAATATAAATAATACAGGGTGGTTAATTCTTTTTCAACTTTGCTTTTTTAAAATTTTACAGTAAATGATAAGGGAAGTGTCACATTTTTATCTATGGTAAGCCTCTTCTGACTGCTTGGGAAACTCGTAATTTCTAAAATTTGCCTCCCAATGAAAATGAACTAGCGATTCAATTAAATTGAGTTTCCCAAGTAACGCACGTAGCATGGCCGTCAATAAATTCGACAATGCCACACACGTGAATTGGGACAGAAAGTCGGCATTATCAAATTTCCTTCACCCTCTCTTCCAATAGAGGTACAAGGAATATCGGTAGACATCTGGTTACAAGACGCTACCTTATAACCGTTACGATGAGCTTTCAGAGGCGGGCAAAAGATGACAATGTAAGAATATCGAGAAAACTGGTGTCAAGGCGAAGAGACATTTGAATGGACACTAATCTTGTTATCACGATTCAGGGTAAATGCACAAAGCAGTAGTACCAATAGCAATGAGGCAACATCGGTAGGAAGTTAAGTGTAGAAGCCCATGGGAGAGCCTTCTAATCGCGAAGGGAAATACAATTTTGTCTACCACCTACCGCTGTCGGGACGATTTGCAAGTTAAAAATGGAGGAACTCTTCAAGATTACAGTTTCGCCTATTCATGTTATAAGTTGTCTATGAGATGACGCAGCTGAAGTTAATAATGCGGCGATCACATTTGATTAAATAGGAGAACTCTAGTTAATAATGAAGAACGAAAGTAGGGGAAAGATTAATGTTACAGACACGCAAAATGCTGCAGCAAATAAACTTGCATAAAATAAATCATTTTAGAGTCATGAACGAAATACCTTGGGGGCTGTGCAAAAATCAAACCCAGAGCTTATCAGAAGGAAGCTCTAAAACATGCATTCTGAAAATCTGCCAAGGTAAACGCCACAGTAAAATATCTATATCATGAATCCTTGTGAAATAAATAGATGTGCAGGAAATTACACATTCAAGCAATATGCCAAATAGCCGGACCGAAAAGACTGCAAGGTTATTTGGAGGTAGAAAGGGCATATTTAAGCCAGAAACTACAAAGTGAAGCGTGCGTTTACTGCGGAGCATATAGACAATTAATAGGAAAAGGTGTAATCCTCACTCCTAGGCTCAATGATTTTACGCAAATAGATTAAACGTACTGGCGGCTCGAAAAATCCGAGATTCAAAAGAGTGTTGAAACTTACAATTCGAATCAAAATGCCTGAAATCGCCCCGTACTTTTGTTCGTTTCACAGCAACATCAAAAGCCTGACCAAATAAACTGGACAAAAAAAGAATAAAATTAGCCAATATCCATTACTCTATCTGCAAAATATACTTAATTCTAAGAAAGATCGAGAAACACATCACTCGTTGTGATGAAATACGCTTTGACTGTACAAACAAAAACATTGAGAACGTCCTACCTCCATTAATTATGGTGCAATTTTTAGGTTTTTACACAGGGAAGGCGTCACCCCAATTTCATGCCATGGTATGCATCGCTAGGTCATCAAACGCACCTTTCGAAAGTCCTCCTACCAGCACAAATTTCCATCATTTGACTAGCAAAGATGATTTCTACTAAAATATTGAATTGGAAAAGATAAAGGTGGATATGAAAACCATTCCAACTATTTTTCAAAAATGTCACATATGCAGCCTTGATTTTCACATAATCTGAGAGATTCAGTTTGACCAGACTTTTAACCCTTACTGAGCAAATAAACGTTAAATTCCTTCGCTTTGCAGTGAGTTCTTTCATTCATCTTCCAAAAAGCCAAGAATACCGTTAAGATAACCGAAATGGTGCTAAAGTGTTTTGTTTACTGTAGAACAAAACCTGGTTTCTTAAATTTCAGAAGGGGTTTATTTAAAAGATGTGATACGTTATGTGCATTTAGATGACATCTATGCAATCGATGCGTAAATGGTAACACAAAAAAAAATTGTGCCTAAATCATGAAAAAAAAACGTATGATCTAGCGCTCGATAAGTAGTTTCCACTGTGTTTGTGTGTGGAATAGAAAACATTGAACGAACTTTCTATCATCATCTCCCTGTAGTGGGGGAATTCCGATAATGAAGATGTAGTTTTCATCGTATCTGCTGTCCACGCACAACACCAGAGGCATTTGTGCTATGCGTCTATTCCTACCCTAAGACGACAGAAAAAAATGTTGTACTTACAATATTTAAGTAAAACTTCTAGAGGGACCTAAATACCCCACCAGTTTAGCACGCATGGCTGCCTTTGCAGTGAGGATGTAGCGCGCCAGGAGGCCAACGAATTGTGGATTTCGGAAGTTCAATGAGAGGAGAGAACTCTGAAAGTTAAGGAGAGTGATTTTAAGAAACTCTAGGTGATTCATGGCTACTTCAACCACCTTCAACACATAAATAAACAGTCTAGTAATGGTCACTTCACATAAGCAAAAAGTGATATTTATAATCATTTAGGCACTCTGAGGTCAATCTTGACATAGCCTAACAAAAGTTGGAATGACTCACCAGCATTACTACCTAAACGCCAAGTATAACACTATTTTAGTCCTAATTGACCTTTTCAATGTACTTTACTATTGAACTGTTCCAGTTCTCATACTCGTTACTACCCTTCCTGGGCAATATCGACTAATAAATACTCCTCTCAACGAAATTCTCAAGGGTTTAGTATCAAAAAATTGGTCAATTTAGTGAATGACCTACACGCATATAGGAAACACAAAACTGCATTTTTACACAAGAATAACACAACTTGTTACTAGGTGTCGATCACAACAGCATCACGTTCATGTTCATTTTAAATAACTCGTCCTCCTCGCGCCTCATTTACAGCAGCACAGCAAGTGTGTGGAAGTTAGCATTCAGCGCATGCAATCTAGCAGCAAATAGGTCACAATTTCCTCAAATTCCATTTCTATCAAAAGAAAAGAGACTTACCTTAGCCACGTATACGTATAGGAAGGGTCCAAAAGCAACTACTTCATCAGTATCAAGGACAGCTCGAACCTGTCCTACTAGACTTCGAAGTTGGCCCTGCAAGTTCTCCATCCACTCCTCCAAGGATTCCATTGACCAACTGATGTAAGATAAACACTAGCAGTCTTAATGCAATTATTCGAATAAATCACATTAAATCATCAATGTTTTAATACAGAACGATTTTAACAAAATTGGATGACTTTTTGGAGTCCTGAATGATCAATTAATAGTTCCAAAGTGCAAATGGTCTAGATAGGACAAAACAGTGGACCTCATATGATGATCTGGTTTAAATTAGAGGATACAGACGAAGTTGAATGCATAGTGACAACTCTGTTGAGATAACTGTGAGAAAGAGAACCTAAAACCTCATTACCTTACGGGAAGGAAGAAACTTACGAGACAAGAATTTCCGCAGCAGCATGAAAACCTTCAACGGGATCCTTATTAGACTATAAAAATATGAAAGTGGTGATAAAGAGGGGAGAGTTAAAAACTCACCTGACACTCAAGTGCTGCTAGTATCAACCAAAACGAGTCCATTGCTGAAAGAGGCGTCTTATATGAGAGCCGCAGGATAAAGGATGGCAGGAACATCTCCAACCGCGTAAGACTGTTTGCATATAAGAGAAACCAGGAGAACCTACCCAAACTTCTCCCCGAACTGTAGAAACAGAGAGTTCAAATTGTTCTTTACCTGGGTGCTCATTGTGGAATACTTTTGAGAGCAATCACGCAGGGACAAGCTACAAGAAAGAAGCAAAAACAATTAGCACATCAATTAACGGCGAAAGGGCAAAAGTAAAATCAAGCCAGGAGATGCTTGATGCTATTATAGGAAAATGGACGAAAAGTGTTCAATACCCTATGCTAGCCAGGAACTCCTGTAGGCGTTTATAACCACCCTCCGTGAAGAGTTTAAAGCGGGTCGATGTAACTATAGTGGTTTCGAGGGCATCTTTCAAACTCCAGTGACGATACATCCATAGTGCAAGCTCCTCCTCGAAATTGATGTCAATATTCTGATTGCAACTATCTGATTCTCCAGCGATCTGGTTTTTTGAGTGACTCAGGCGATTCATATGACTGTGAAGGGTGTCGATCTGCTCGATGTAGTGCTCCCGGTTGGACTTGAACAACATAATCTGGCTCACATGCCCCACAATTGCACACCTAAAACTCATCCAAAAAAAGGACATGATTCAGTGACACGAACATTTTACGCTGCATTTTCCATGCTTATCGATGGACCAATTGGAGAGAAGTACGTCATGCACATAGATCATCACACCCCAAAACAATGAAACAGGGTTTGGCAGGTGGTCACATCACCGAATGGGCAAGTCCTTTACTAATAGAATTAAATATTTCTCGTGAAAAAGACAAATAAACGTAGACGCGAAAGTGACTGAAATGAGATTAATCGAAGCCCGTGGGTCTAAAATCTGAAAAAAACCTTAAAAAATAAGTCGTTTTCATTTAGTCAATCACTTTCAAACGCCAACAATATCTATTTCACCATTACATATCTATCTAAATGTTATCACTGACTAAATTTTTCCCATTTACAAGCTCTAACATTTTTAAAGTTGTGGTCATGGCCAAGTGACAAACCAGAGAAGATGGAGGTTGTCCTGAGAGAGTTTCCATGCGATATCAAAGAGGACGACAGCAGACGCCGTGGCGCGGTAAGAGAAGCTTTCATACTCAATGAGAATTTCTTCTTTCCGACGCTCCCATTTCCTTCTGCTGATTCGCTTCTCCGCAGCCTGAAGGTTGCTGCGCTGACGACTGCCCCTGCCTTCTTCCTCTTCGCTCTCCGAATTGTCCATCTACGTGGGAATTCACAGAAGTATGGGCGTAGTGGGCATAAAATCCATGATGGAATCTCTTGATAAATATATCGTCAGTGATTATGATAAATCCTAGACAGTAAAGTGACATTAGTTACAAAAAAAAGTGATTAACTTTTGAATCAATGTGTAATTCACAGAGGCACTCTCGATGACGATCCCTGACTAAGTAACCTCCCGTAAAGCAGCATCCGTTGACTGCAGAAGTTAACTTATCAATCATTACTGCAAAAAATATCATGCTCCTAGCACCTCAAGGACTTCAAATCTACCGATCTAGTAATTAGAAGAAAGATGTTTTATTATGTGAGCAGAGTAAACGAGGAAATGTTAGCAAATTCGACGAAACCAACCAAGTCATCGTTGTAGATGTCTTCAAACTTCGGTATATCATCTGTGTTCTCATTTAGAGTGATTAGATGAACCTGCCTCTGATTGTAGTAGTTGTTGACATGGATAGGCCGGTGGCTATACGACAGAATTTGAGAAAAAACGTGGGCTGACAGCTCACCTGTCACAAACAAAAAATATGCTCTGAGCAGGAGCTTCGAGCATTTGCAGAATATCGAAGTTAGCACCGCAATTGACAAGGACTACGTAATTAAACTAGAAGGCATCTGAGATGACAGCAAAGAAACTTACCCTGTCTTTATTAACGTTAAATTGTTGATAAAGTTCAACTTTAGTTGAGATCACTATTAGAGTATAGAGAGCTTGTATTTGTCGAAACAGATGCTAAAATAAAACAAATTGAAGTTCCGTACTCGAAGAATTCTCCACGCACAGACACCATCAACGTCAGGGGTTACGAAAACCAAGACATGCTGAAAAAAGGCTTTTCTGCGACAGAAATAAGAGCTACCTCTTGCATAATACGGTTTAAAAAGTCACCACGGAGATCGGATAGCAGTCCCATAATGCTATTTCCACTTGACCACCGTAGAATCTTTAAAAAACAAGGAAGTGACACATTGGTGTTACGCTATAAACCAAGATAATACACATTTCAACACAGCTACTTGAAATTAAAATCAAAGGAGCGTATAGATAGTTTACACTCTTAAGGTGACCGCGGAGCAAATAAATAAAACTAGCAGGGTCAAAAATTTCTCGTCAAAGCTAACTAAACAGTGTCGAAGACCTTTAAGAGCATAAGCCATGGGGGGATAAGTTCGATAATACCAAACTATTTTGCAAGAGTTCGTAAAAAATAAGCCTGAGAACGGTTTGCGGCACATCTAGGGTAAATAAACAGATGACATACACAGCAGGTACCGATTATGAAGAGAGGAAATTTCCAAACTTCTACTTTCAAATTTCAAGTCAGTAACGACCTGAATAATTTAATGATTACAAAATGAAGTCGTTGGTTTTACTCTTTTCGTACCACTACTATGAAAGGAAAAACACATCACAACAACATTGCACCATGCCATACAACCACATTAACAAAGAAACCTAGATTATTGAAGATGTTCTAAGTGCAAATTTAAGCACATAGGTAAGAACCGACCAGGTTAGCTATAATGACCAAACCACCATTGTTATGACGCAATCACAGCTATATCCACTCCGGTGAACCGAGTAATTCTCCAACATGATTTTGGAATACAAGAACACTTACCTCACTCCTAAAACCGAAAAAGCGTGTGCAGTAAGCAAAAAACGTGGTTTCAATTACGTTAAAAATCAACTGTTATCGCTGGGTACTTGGTAAAACACCAACCGCCAAACGCACCAGCCAGAGGGTTAGTAATTTTAACAAGGAGTGTTTGAATTCTCGCCTTAATTGGAGATCCGCGCAAACAGTGCAATATAACATGTTTTTATCAAAATTTATATTCTTTAGCAAAATAGTAAGGCTGCATAGATTTTAACACCCCAAATGACGGAGAGCAACACATCACATAATATTATTAAATGGATTAGTTTCTGAGACTTTATTCCTAGAACATTGAATATGAGTCATGTCATAATGACTTTACCTATTTGATTTAAAGTTCAAGCTATTTTGTCGCCGCCTTAATGGCACTTCCTTCCATCGTGCATCCGATCTCTCGGTTCGCCTCTTCATTAATAAACCTCTGTAGCGTCTCAAGATTTCCCTGAAGACGAAAGAAGACATAATACTTGAGCAGAATATATATATTCGGCAACTTAGAAGGTATTTGGGCTACTGGCATGGCGCAAGGACCAGCCCGTCCGGTGCGGTACAAAGGCCAAGTTAAAAGTGGCTCCTCACCAAAACTGAGAGGTGAACAACCATCGTATTACATAGCCCCTCTCCTCCTTTGAGCGTCGCCCCCGGCGCTCCCACAGGTCAACCTCCAACGTCAGCCATCAAAACTTAGTCAGTGCTCCAAGGGAACACCCACTAGCCGGTTGTGTTAGTCATCAAATTAACGTGAAAATGAGGAGATACTTAACCGCATTGACACTGTTCCTTCTTGGCAATTTAACTGGATCTGGAGTTTCGTCTGGTTTGGGAACTTCATTCAGGAAGAGGGAATTGTTCTGGCTATCATGCTACAATGGCTACAACCACACATAATTTCAGTATGCTGTTGATAACCTCTCTTTCATACCCTCTAGTGTTTCAAGGGGTTCGCAATTCTGAAAGTCGAATAACCCAAAATAGCTTCTTGTATTAGTCGAAATAACTCCCTATAAAATTCACCATCCTTTCCACTTTCATAACATATTTTGTCTGATACAAGCCAAGACCACACTAATCCTAGACAACTCCTTTTCCATCCTATTTTTACCTCAGCACCGCCCAATTTGTATGTGAATTGTCCCATGCCAAGAAAGGGTGATTATCATGCCTTTGAAAAATACAGTCATCAAGTGCTGCGGTGCCCTATTGCGATAAGATTAGGCGTTTCTTCTAACTGATGGACTGGTTCCGACTGTTCCTTAAAAAGAAGCTTTTCTGACCCACCGTTGAGCTTTGTCGCATTAAGTTGACAGATCCCACTCATTATTGCTGTTTAGCTTGTAGCTCAAGGTTTGTAGAGAATGATTTCGTTCGCAGTCCATCACACATCCACGCTAAGCAGGCATTAGCTTTCCCAGGGTGAAGTGGTGCCGGCCCAAGTAGTGTAAAGCAGTAGCGTGGATGGTGAGTAGATCGTTTCAGGATAACCATTCCCATACGGAAGCAAAAAAGCTATTCCGTGCCACCAGTCAGGCAGTCGGCGAACAATTGAAAATGCGCAGAGCGTCTTTATAACGTACGTGGAGGAGTAGAAAAGGAAGCCCGTCGACTTTGCAACCCATTATCATCTATTACTCTACAGCATGTGGCATCCATTACGAGTTTTGCACTTAATTTAGATGTAGAATAATAATTCCGTCACTCGCGTCACATCAATGGAGGTCGTTTCAGACACGTTACTCAGGAAATACCTGAATCAGCAGCTACACGTAATTCCCATTATCAAGAGTAGAGGACTTTCCTCAACCTGATGCATCTTAGAGTGTCTGATCATCAAGGCTTAATTATTTAGGCATCTCAAAGGCTGTATTTTTTGTTACCACACCTTGCCCGAATGAGATATACCGTGAGAGTTCAAAACTATGGGAAAACAGCAGAGAACGCCATGAAGGCTATCGATAAATTGACGCGTATCTACACTTTACATCGTATATATATATATATATATATT